CTGAAAAACAGGTCAACACCTAGCCCTAGAAAAATAATTAATAAGGGCTGTTTTAAACACACTTAACCCTGTCCCATCCAATGTAGACAGGGAGTTTGGCAGGATTGCTCATCTTTTTGAATGCTTTTTGAACAATCCAGCCTACCTTGTACACACCAGGTTGCCAGGCTGTAACTCTATGCACAGAACCTGCACTAGCTCTCTGAGTACCAGGATGAGATCCCCATTGCCCAAGCTTTAAACATGCATTTCCCTTCAACTATATCAATGAATCAATGTCCTTCAAAAGAACCCTCCAGAAAGGAAAATAGCAATACCCCCTTTCTCTCTTCCGGCCTCACTGGAAAGAAGATCTAGAAGAACTTCTCTCAATTCTGGGGATTTAAAGGAATGGGATATAGATCCTCCATTTTCTGTGTTTTTAGTAATTTAAATTACTAAATAAAAATATTTAAAAGGTTCTTCAGTGGGGAAAACGGATGGGAGAGAGCTTTGAACAGAAAGTAATGAAACAAAAGGTCTTACCACTGATTCTCTCATCTTTTCTGGGAGTGGATCTGCTGATGAATCTTCAAATTGTTGTCGTAGAAAGTGAGGGACATATCTGCATTGTATAAGGGACCTGTTAAAAAAAAATCCTAGTTAGGATACTTGTGAACAAATCTAACAGATATTATTATACCTGGGGGGCAAAGGAGGAGGAACAGCCTCAGATTTCCTTCCTCATGTATGCAGTAGCTATCTTATCGCTGTAGAGCTGAAGACTGACATAAACCAGCTCTACCTGTAATTGGGGTAGAACTTCCTTGTCAAAATGTTATGGAGTCTCAGCAGTTCAATCAGTGTGACTCAGTCATTTAGAGGAATGAGCAGAGAGGGTATTGTTACACTGATGCCCTTTATTAATGTTTCAGCTAAGCTGAAAACAATATGTGAGCTGTTTAGACCCACACTAGAAAGGCTACAGAAGCTGTTTCTCTATAAGTTGTGTATTAACCCTCAGTTTAGATTTATATCCTACCTCGTTCTCCATCTTGAAGTTAATGCCACAGGCCAACCCTTAAATGTTGTTTCCAATCTCCCTAACTTCCTTTAATTAACTTCAGAACTCACATCTGCTGCCCCTGAGCTATGGATCTATGGACCTCTTTCACACCACCTCAACCTGCAACTCACAATGTTAGGACTTCTCCCCTGGCTCTCCCTTGTTTACAATGTCAGCCCTCAAATACACACTACCTTCCCTCAACTACCTCTAGCAGACCATGTCAAAGCAGAAAAGCAAGGAGTTAATCCCAAACAGAGAGGCATAGCCTACTGACAAGGACTCTCAGCAAGAGCTGGAATTGAGCCATCTTCCCAGCACATCACACATCCTTTTTCCTTGCCACAGTGCTACCTAATGCACATTCTGCAACTGCATAGTCCAAGAGCCCCCTATCCTCCAACATGGCAAGCACACAATTTCCAAGAGGGTGAAATCTGCTTCAGAGAATTTGCATAGTGCTGTTTAAAGAGCACCAGACTTACTGGCACTCTGACTGCAGCACTTCATTTATTTACAGGACTGATACCAACCAGGCAGAGACAGCGAGGAATTTCCACCTCACCACAGTATTTTTGAGAGACAATCCCTGCGTTTCTGAAACCCAGGCATCTGGTTGTGTGTGGTACAATCAATAAATAACGTTTGCAGGCAACTTACATCAGTACAGACGGGTCACTGCTTTGTCTGCTGAGGTGATAAGAAAGTGCAACTAGCAGACCACAGAAAGCAGAGAACAGCGCTGGAATGTGTTGTGCATCCCAGGGTTCCTGAACAGAGGGACAGAAAGGAAAGCATTTGTAAGTTAGGAATGCAGAACTTAATTGTTTTTTTAAGTAGGCTAAGCCATACATGCAGTGTTAAATGCACAGCATCTAAATTTGTACACCTTCTACCAAGGACTGAAAATCCTTTTTCATATCAATGTCTATTATTGTGAAAAAGGCTGCTGTAATCAGCAATTAGCTAGGAAACCACATGAAAGGCAGGTTTTCTTTCCTCTTTAATGAAACACGAGAGGCAAATTCTCATTAAAATGAGATGCGAGTGAAATGAACTGCACTGCATTTGTCTAAACTCTAAAGAGATAATGTAATTACTCGACCTGTGGCCAGACTCCATGCAACAAACGCCAAAGTCACCTAAATCAGGCAGTAGGCTACGGGCCTGGCACCTCACTCTGAAATTTTTCTGCTGCTTTGTATGTTATATCCAGGCCCTCCCTGGAGGGTAATACAGTGGGGAGGGAGAGCCCTCACCACCATACGTGACATACACAAGTGGGGAAAGAGAAAATTTACACTCTTGCCAGCATGCTCAGGGCATAAACAACATGAGAAACTGTCCCTGGGTGACTTAAACAGCTAAAATCATCTGGAAATAATAAGAGAAAAAACCTGAAGCTTAAGGAACACTTATCAAGACCAGCTTCATCTGTGGAGTCCTCAGCTACAAATCAGGGATTTTAAGACATACTTGCGAGTCCTGGCTGTAAAAGGACACAAATTTTGGCTGTGAAGGACACAGAAACTCAGTGGACCAGGTCCATAGCCATTTCACTTATTAGGCTTGTTCAATGTCTCCACACAACTTCTACCTGATCAAGTGAACATGAGGTTACCAGATCCTGACATCAGAGCACTTTCTGGCTAGATTTTAAGAGACAATGCTTGTAGAAGTGGGAATCTTTAAGCCTTGTTCAGACAGTAAAAACAAGACATCTTCTGCAGTATGTCTTTTGCTTGAAAAACTTCACAACTTGTACAGAACCAATGTTTTCACAAAATAAAGTGGCTTTATTAATCTTATTTCGCCCAGTGATACACATGATTTCTTAGCAAAGTTGACTCACGTTGAGAAAGATTTTGTTTCCTTCAAGGGCAATGATACCTGGGTAAAACAAACTAATCTGCTGTTAAGGAACAAACCACCTGCTGCAACATGAGGCTTCTTGGAATTTAAAGATGAAATTACCATTATCCTAAGAACCAATATCACAGAAGTGAAATTTTAATTCCAAGAATCATCTTCCCCTCAACGTAATACTGAACATCACAGAGGTGAAAAAAGTGTCTAGTTCTATCAAACAAGCCTACCTAAAACGATCATTACAAACAAAAGAGAATTACAGAGTGTTACTGAAAGAATCTAGCACCATTTGACAAGTTAAACTTTGCCATCTAATTCCACTCTTCATTTTGTTGTTCCCAGTTTTGTGGTCAAATACATTTTGGGTTAACTTCTCCCATGCTTAGTCTCCGGAAGAAATTAATATTCTTCAGAACACTGAAGAGAACTAACTGGAGTCAAAATGTTCCAAAAATGGCTGAATCACAGCCTATCCAAATATCCATTGCATTTCCAGGGCAATACAACTACAGATCCACCCAGCAGCTTCCAGTGCATGACTACCCCTTTGCCCTGCAACTTATTTCAAAAGCAAAATACTATAAAGACCCCAGCAATGCCCCTGGGTATTGAAATGTATCAGTAGCCAGTTTGAGAAATCATTCTGCCCTATTTCTACTATAAAACTGCACATGGCCAATTCCTCCTGTTAATGTCTCAGGAACTCTTTATTTCCATATTTTCTGTGTATTACACACAGCTTCTGCATTTGTCTGGCCTGTGCTCCAGTTCTAAAGTGTCATTGTCCCCTCAGAGCTCAGCCGGCAGGAGTGAGGAAGGCATCAAGATTTGCTATGTGCCTAGAGAGCAGGACTTTCCACGCTAATGCTATACAATGTTGTATAAAAGATGAGAACAAACAAATGTGTCATTTCTCCAGCATCAGTATGATGCACCCTGCTTCATTTTTTTCACTTTCTTCCCCCAATAATGATGCCTGGTAGAGCTTTACACTAAAAAGATAAAAAAACCCCAATATAGCTGATAATTGGACAATGATCCTTCT